TGAGAGCCAGCACAAGAATAAAACTGAAGTTACCATGATTTAGCAGATGAAATACAAACAGTTGCAATCTCGAAGGAGCAGATTGCCCAGATGTTTTGGGGTTTTTTTGCTTTTCTCTTTTTTTTGATGTTTTGTGTAATAAATGTCCTCTTTGAATTATTAAAATTTTAAAAAAACTAGTATTAAAGTGCGATGTGTTGGTCTGACCTAGGAGATTTTCACAAAGAGCAAAGGCTGAAAGGGGACAGCTGTGGCATTAGCAGGAGCATCCTCTCTGATGTGTAGGATAAGGATTCTCAAGGATTTCAGTCTCTTCTAGCTTTGGCAAAACTAGGAGGCAGATCCTCAAGGAGGATAAATGCCACAGCTCTTGAGACCAACGTAGCTGCCACAATGTGTATTCACTGAGCACATGTCCTACCCAGGCACTTCCCCAAGGACTAGGATAGCCCATGCCTGGGACTTCCAGGAGTGCTTCTCCTTYTCCTGAAGTGTGCCATGCTCTCAAATCCCAAGAACAAGTCCTCCCYAAGTGCTGGGCCAGAGAGCCTGCTCTGTTCTGGCAACTCATCTCTCCTTTTCATGTTTTGCATATACTGGTTTCACAAAGCCTTAGCATGCTGAAAACCAGTAAAATTAATAAGGAAAGTAAATCAAGCAGAGAAAAAACGAAGAACTACCCTAGCGTGAGGTAAACAAAAGCCCTGTGTTCTCAGCTATGCCCTGCTCGAGGCAGAAACAGAGCTGAGCATCCCCTGGCTGTCCCCTCRGCACCCTGCCCAGCCCAAGGACTGTCCCATCCCTCAGGTGTCTGTCAGTGCTGAGGAGGGGACGGGTGCCAGGGCAGGAGCAGAGAGAAGCATTGGCATCCCCAGTGCCAGCCTGGCTGTGACAGCACAGACCTCACTGAGGGGGTCCTGACAGTCACCCTGCCACCAGCAGATCTCAGTGCTGGTGCCAATACCACCTGGAACTGCAGGATCGGGCTCCYCAGAGTGGSTCCCCACTGGTYCTTCRTGTAYAGCTTTGCAATGCAGGTCTGCCACYGCTCCTGGTGTGTTGGCAGGGCTCAGACACCCGGGCAATGGTTGAGGTGCCAAAGTGGGGCCAGACACTCCCCACTAAACCCTCCCCACTGGGAGCTGGGTACCCCTCACTCTCCTCTTCAGCTTCAGTGCAGCTCCATGCAGCTGCCAGGCCTTTCAGGGGGTCACAGAGAGCAGGGAAAGCTTGCCAGCAGTTTGGTGTTCCCTGAGCTCCTTCCAGCGGGGCGGCTCCAGGGAGCTGCACAGAGCYGGCCCTGCGGTGGAGCAGGGCAGGGTCACCACCTTCCCTGCACAGCTGCATGGTGCGAAGCCCGCAGGGATGGTGTGGTTTTGCCCACATTCACACTAGTGGCACACAAGCTCTCAGACCCCCTCTAACCACCAGACAATGTTTCCTGCCTTGTTATGCTGTTGAGWTTATTTCAGAATCATTTTGCAGGCAGGGGGAGCCCAGTAGGGAGTGCAGCAGGGGGTGGTGACCAATGGGTGCTGAGCATCTTTCAGAACTGATGCCCCTTTGCATCTCAACACTTTTCAACTCTTGCACCTCCAGAGACCCTTCTAACTCCTCCCTCAACCACACCCCGTTGAATGCCAGCAGGGAGTAAATAGGAGTGTGTGGGCAGGGGACACAGGGGCCAGTCCACATTTCTGTACATCAGGTCAGAGGGCTGCACAGACAGAGCCTGCGAGATAACCTCCCTGTAATCCCATCACCTGAGAGAGCCTGGCAGTCATGGACAGGTAAATTGAGTGCCTCTAGCTTCTTGCTCATATAAGAGATGAGGTTCTTTCAGTTAGAATTAACTTGGTCTCCCTCTGGCACTGACCATTCCTTTCCCTTTCCCCATCTGACTCACTGATCTAACTCCCTGCCTTGTCCTGCTCCCGCAACTTGCATCTCTGCGTCTCTGTTGTTCTTTCTCTTTGACTGTCTGCCACCTGTATTCTTTTCCCTTTCTGTCATTTCTTTCTTGTGGCTATTCTCTGTTCCTTTCRTTGTTTTTCTTTTCTAGAAACAAAGGATGATAACAGAAGGATGAAGTCAGAGGCTATCTGCTGCTTAAGCACCTCAATCCTCTACTTGCACTGCAATTAATTCTGTGAGCTTATTACAACCAATCACTCTCCACAAYTGCATACTATGCACACGCTCAGGGGGCTTCACTCTGATTTCATTAATCTTTATTTGAGGAGATCTCTGTTCAGCCTGCTTCTTCATGCCCAGGTATAATCACAGCTCCCGTGTCCTTGCTGCTTTTCCTTGAGCTATGCTATAGCCATAGGAGTTGCRTGTGTATCCAGCAGTTTATTCCTAGCTAGACATCTGCTCCATCGCTCCCCACAACATCTGTTCATTCATTATTCYTTTTGCACCAGCCATATTCTGAAATCCTCCCTGGAAAAAATCTCTGGGACAATGAACTCCAGAGGAAGGGGGAGAAAAGTAACTGTTGTTAATGAACGTTTCTAGCTGAAAACATGTCTTCTGTGATTCAAATTTTCTTCAATTTGTTCTGAAACTGAAAAATAATCTAAGTGATTGTAACTTAATTTTCCTGTGGTTTGGGGTTGTTTTTTGTTTTTCACGCTTATTTGCATCCACATACTACTCTGCAGCGGCAAAAACATTGAACAGAGTAAAACGGGAAGAGGTGAGAAAAGGGACAATTAAAAGAAGAATCAGAAACATTTTGAAAGCAAAGGGGTTTTCCCAAAACTTCACAAAAAAAAAAAAAAAAAAAAAAAAAAAAAAAAAAAAAAAAAAAGAGAAAGAAAGATAAAAGGGAAAGCAGATTTTCCCTTAAGTTTTTGATATGATGAAAAGCATTTTTCCATGTGGATTTTAATGAAACRTGGACATGGGCATGGACATGGATATGGGCAGAATTGTAGTTGTTTTTCACCTGCCTTATCTGTTTCTTCAGCAAGCAATTGCATTGTGCACAGTGCCTCTGCCCTGTTTTCCACAGCTGTGGCATTTTGACCCCAGGTAAGACCTTTGTAAGCCTCTGGCCTGTCATACCTGCTCATTTCCTGTGCAATTTTCTGGGCTATCCTTTCCGGAAAACCCAAGGATCTGTCATCACAAGAGGTGTCCCCTTTCCAGCATTTCATAATATCCATTCCCCATATGGGGGACAGTCTCTTCACATCCCCAATGACACATCTAGGAGGTGGAAAGCTGCAGTGATCCACTGGTTGGTAATTTTGTGAGGAGACCAATCCATGTGTGTGTTAGGAATATGCACAGGTGTTCATTCGTGTGTGTTTGCACAGAGGCAGGGGAATAGGGTGAATCTAGGGGGCAGGAAGTGAGTCAGCTTTAAGTGTGAGAAAGATGATGAAGAACACGCAGTGGGTATGGGAAACACACACGCAGCAGAACAGCCAGAGAAAGGGGTGACAAAATGCAGTGGTTTCAGCTTGTGCCCTGCTCCTGACACAACCTGCAGCCCAACAGAGCAGGACAGCCACAGTGCCTATGGGACAGACCTCCAAGTACTGCCTCAGACCATTGTTGGGCTGGAGGAAATGCTTCATGGGGATGCTTTACCCTCTTGAGTRTGTGCAGGGCTCTGCAGAGCCTTGTTTCCTCTGTGAGCTTTGCCCTGACAGGAGACATTCCCGCACGGATGTGCTTCTGCAAGAGCCTGCCTGCGTAAAGTGCGGCACAACCGAGTACGTGCACGCTTCCTCTTTCTGCGTGAGCAGCACAGCTATTTGTGCACTGCAGGCTGAAGGAGACAGGGCAGGAAAGGGCCCTTTTTCTGTCTGTGGGACAATCAGGGTGCCTGAGGSAAGAGCGGGTCTGATTCATGTGAGGAGCAGTAGGGAGTGCTACAAAACCTCGAAGAGCAATCACCAGGTAACAAAAGGCAGGAGGACAAGCATGGCTGTGTGAATGAGTACCTGTGACAGAGTGGCCACGTGTGAGGGTGCACAAGGGACAGAAGCTCCTGGAGGAGCACAGAGGGCTCTTGTTAGCTGGACATTGAGTGCTCTACAATGCTCAAAGTTTATTGTGACATTGGCAATCATGTGAAGGGTGTATACATGTGCTTAGACTCTCAGATTTAAACATTTTAAATGCCTAGCAAATGCAAATTCCCCTTTTCTACACTTCACYGGAAACCTCCCAGAAAACCCAGCTTGGTATCTCTCAAACCTAGCCCTGAACATCAGCCTAACAGTGGGAAAAGATGACAAAGGACGTGATTATTTTTAACCTGTTCACTTCTGTTTTGCATTGCTGCGGGGGAGATGAGTATCACACCTCAATGAACCCAGCTGCCTGTGTCCCTCCACTTGGCTGTTAGATACAGCTCATGGCTACCTTACCCTGCCTGTGCTCCTGCTGCCTCTCCCCAGGAGGATCCCTGGCCACGGGAGCAGCCCCACGCCACTCTTGGTGTCTGTCTGGTACTTGTGTCTGGAGAGGGGTMAGCCCATTACATATTCCATCAGCTAGTGGATGGTGTCTTTCCCCMGTCCTGCACRCTCTCAGCTCTGCTCTTCTTTAGGCAGTGCTTGGAAGACATTCAGTCCAATCTTCTCTGAAGAGGTTCTAATTTAATCCATCCCTTGCCCCAGTGGATTTTCAGGATTTCATATRGCGAAAGTAACACCTCTTGATGACTGAACTCCAGACTCTCTCATCTTCATAGGTCTTCTCGGACACCTTCATCCTTCTCCCTCATTGGGATATTTTCAGATATTTTCACACTCTACCCAGCTGTAGTTGCTGTTTGACTAATCACCACGAATTCACATATCATTTCCACTCACAAGGTCACCTGCTTCATCCCCAGAGTCACGTCTGCATCCCTTCCCTAGAACATTTAATGCAAATTACTGACACTCTTGGACATGAAGAGGATATTTTCGGCACTGAGCCCCCAGCAAAGACACGGTAAACTGCTGGTTTTAGAGTGGGGCTGATTTAAATTTTCTCTTGTCTTCTCCTGCAGCATCCTGATGCACAGGAGACTCTTCCTGTACAACTTCAGGAACCTGCTCAAGGCCAAGGGCCGGCGTGAAACCTACCTCTGCTTCGTGGTGAAGCGCCGGGATAGCGCCACGTCGTGCTCCCTGGACTTCGGATACCTGCGCAACCAGGTAGGGGGAGCACTGGCCAGCAGGACCAGAGGGCTGTGGCAGCCGTGCGACACACCGGGGTACGGTGTTTGAGGGGTGCAGCCTCCGGGTAACGCTGCGCTTTGTGCCGCCCCCGGGTGTGTTAGCAGCAAGACATCYACACTCCCTGCTGCTTTATCAGTCTTCACCTTCCAGCTTAGCTCCCGGCCATCCTTTCGTACAYCCCTCCACACCGGTGCCCCGCTGTGCTTTTCCAGCCCTTACGYCCCACCGTGCCTTCCCCGCGTGTGMGCTGACCCAAGAACACGCCCCACACCTTGCTTTTCCTCCCCTCACACCCCATCCACGCCACACGTCCCTCCGTGCCCGTGTCACACCGTGCCCGTCCCCGCCACCTGACGGCCGGTGCCTCTGTGTCCCCGTTCCCCGAAGATGGGCTGCCACGTGGAGATGCTGTTCCTGCGCTACATCGCCGCCTGGGACCTGGACCCGGGCCGCTGCTACCGGATCACCTGGTTCACCTCCTGGAGCCCCTGCTACGACTGCGCCCAGCACATCGCCAGCTTCCTGCGCTCCTACCCCAACCTGAGYCTCCGCATCTTCATGGCCCGCCTGTACTTCTGCGAGGAGCGCAAAGCGGAGCCCGAGGGGCTGAGGCGCCTGCACAAGGCGGGGGCACAGATCGCCATCATGACCTTCAAAGGTGAGATGTGGCAGCAAGGAAGAGATGATGGAGAGCTAGAAAAGACCCAGGAGTGGGGGAGAARGTAGGACAAGGAGCCAGAGAAGATGATGCAGGGTATGATGGTTTAGTGGTCTAGGAGAGGTCAGTGTCCTCTTGAGCRCCCTGTAACTCCTCTGTACCTTGCACAGATTTCTTCTACTGCTGGAACACGTTTGTGGAGAACAAGGAAAAGGCATTCAGAGGCTGGGAAGGGCTGCATGAAAACTCTGTCCATCTCACCAGGAAACTCCGACGAATCCTCCTGGTGAGGGCCAATTCTCCTTCTTGTTCTGGTGCCTTTTCCTTCAGTTTATTCCTGTCTTCTTCACTACAATTCTTCTCTTGCTGCTCATCCCTGCCATCTGCCATTTCATTCACTCATGTGTCCTCACCTTCCACATCCCTTATGCCTCTTCCTCCAACTTTCTTCATCTCTCTCTCCTCACTCACTTCTCCTTCACCTTTCATCCCACCTCCTGCCATTCCTCCCTCRTATTTATAGATTTCTGCCTTGACAACTGACACACCATTTATGTTTTGTCCCTACAGCCACTGTATGAAGTAGATGATTTACGGGATGCCTTTAAAATTCTGGGACTTTGAAGTGAAAATTATCAGCAATGAGAAGACTTCTCAAACACTTGTTCTTTGACTTCCAACTCTCTCCCTTACAACAGATCTTTATCTTTTTCCCTCCTTACATCACTCTTCCATCCAGCCCTGTGTCTAGAGATAAGACTATCCTTACTTTTTCTTTTTTCCAAGGAGAATTAGGCTGATCTTCTGAAGACACCTTTCCCAGGCTCACGTCTTATCCATAGCCAGGACTCCAGTGGCATTGCCAGAGAGTGATTTGCCCTCCCTCAGTCCCTGCAGAGCTAATTCAAGTGATCCACTAAATGGAGCTCTGGGTTTAGCCTTGCCCGGGTGGGAGCACACAGCCTGCAGAGCTGTTTGTGTGATCATGTTCTCACTGCACTGCACTGACCTGCACATTTCATGAGGGCTTTGAGAAGCACATGTCTTGGCTCTCTGAGCTGCACCACACTCAGCTGCTCTGTGTCCTCCCCCRTGAAATGGTTTATTTGTCCTTCTGGTTGTGGGTAGGAAGTTGAAAACCATCACCACTGAAGTGGTATAGCCTAGAGCACCACAGCTCTCACTGTGTGGAGTACTCTCCGTCCACTGAGCATTTCCCCCTAGACCAGAATGCAACATGCTCCCTCCCCAGGCGACTGCCTCTGCCAGAGACACCTTTACAGTCCCACAGTCTTCTGTTTGTCCAGGCCTTTTACTGCCCGTAACATGGCCAGCAATGGCTAGTTGGTGATTGTACTGAGAGGTGGCCAGGAAAAAATCCTGTTATAGGGAAAGCTCTGTAGGCTGTGGATAGATATCTTCTGTAGGGACAGAAATCAAACCCTCCTCCTGCCTGGCAAACACTGTGTTTCCACGGGGGTCCCCATTAGCACCTGATCTGGTGGACACAATCTGTCCAAGCTGCAGAAAAGGGTTCACAGTACATGCCTGCTCACCACCCCTTCCCACCACCTAAATTACAGCTGTATTGCCCTCTCCAATCCACCCTCTTGAGGCTTTGACAAGGCTAAGGGTGTCCCACACTCCGGGTGTGCTGTGTMATTTCCTTCATGAGGGCTGCAAGTTCTCTGCTCTGTCCTGTTCCTGTTTCTGGGTGAGGCTGGAGGCTCCTCAAGGCTGCAGGAGGACAGCAGAGAGCCCTGCTCCTACAGGGCCTCCTCCTGCTCCCAGAGGTCACAACCAGGTGCATCACAAGCTTCCTACAACTTCAGGCTCCCAAGGCACTCTCAGATTGAGGAATTTAGACCAGGAATGGCAATGAAAGTCCTTTGCAAAGCATTAACCTGCAAGCATGGTGTTGTATATTTGTTTCATATGGTGCATATTATTTATATAAATAAAGGTCTTACAAATTAGCATCTGGTTTTGTCTTTTTTTTTTTTTTTTTTTTTTTTTTTTTTTTTTTTTTTGTATCACGTGGGTGAAGGAGGTAAATTTGACCCAGAGGATTGATGTGTCATCTTTCTGATTTCTGGAGAGACAACCTGGGACTATCTTTTTAAACTCTCTTTATACTTGTAGCTTTGAAGTTATTGRCAGTGTCACCCCGCAGATCAAGGCAAATAAATTGTTCAGGTACTTTGGAAATACTRCCAAAAATCTCTGAAGTTATTTGAGATGCTTCTTTCATTGCTGGCCAGCCTGCTGTCCCCATTCATGACTCATAATTGACCACACTGGACACAGAAGAGCTCACCCAACATGCTTCACAAAGCAAGGAAAGAAGCAAAGATGTATTAAAAAATCTTTGTTCTTCAGCTTTTGATATTGATCTGTACAACAGCATTGTCCTTCTCAGTGAAATTGCTAGAAAAGTAGCATTTTCTTAAAAAAGAGTTGAAATACTGTCTTTTCCTTGAATTCTGACTGGCACTGGGTTGAAGATACTTGTTGAAACCCGACAACAGGTGGCATTGTACAGGAGGAGAATAAACRCAATGGGTAAATACAAAGAAGCACGAACTACATTAAGAATACATCCCATGTTTAAATTCTTCTGAACATAAATCAGATTAAGCTCAGAGTGGACTCTTGAGTTAATCCATGTGATTCAGCTATAGGAGTTTAGCTCTTTTGCTACAGAGATTGTTTTAACCACCCTTTTTCTGTTCACAAATCCCAATTCATACAGTTTGTTATAAGATCTTCTTTAATTTGGCTTTCTAAATCAATTCAACCTCAAATGCTTTAGATGTCTCTGCCAAGAATTACTCCCTGCAGGGCAATTRTTATGCAGCAACATTACTTTTTTAACCTATTTTACTTGCTCTGTATATTTTGCACCTAGTGAACATTTCATTACTCCTTGTATGTTCTTGAGGACCGCTTGTCTTTACAGCCTTATGGAGATTGTGGGTGTGCTGTTCTAGGTGTCTCCTTCCTTTATACACACCTGGGCAAAAGCTGGGATCTCGGGGGCACTGTGGCAAATAAACCTCTGGCCCCGATTGCCTGAGCTGTGGGAAATGGGGGCTTGTGATTTCAGGGAGGACATTTCCTCCCCAGACTGTGGGGAGCAGCCAGAGCAGGGGCTTGGTGCTGGCTGAAAACCCCAGTCTCACTTGATCAACGCAGAAATGGGTTTGTAGCAATGAACGAGGCACAGGGACGTCCAAGGAGCTGTGGAGGATGGAGGAKGAAGCAGGACAAAGGCGGCGGGGTGGCGACTGCTGTGGAAAAGTGGGCATGGCTGCCATCTCCTGGCGCACGGGTGGCACCTGCGGGAAGGCGGTGACCTGAAGGGACGCTGCTCCTCACCGCCAACAGCTCTCAAAGCCTCTCTCAACACCCCCAGAACRTGCCCACGGAAGAGCAGGACACTGACATCATTCCCACAGCTGCAAATGGCATTACTCCAGGTCAGTACACGGTGTCCTTGGACTGTGCAATAATAAGAAACAGATTAYCATTAAACAATGCAAAGACACACTCTAGATCCTTGCAAACACAAGCACGTCTCTCCCCGCTTGCTTTCTCTTCCTCTACCCATGCTGGTACTTGGAAATCAAGACACAAAGGGGTTTCATGGTCACGAAGTCTGATCCCTTGTTACTTGTCCCTTCAGGGGATTTCAGCCTAGATGTGTTTGTGCCCAGCATTGTCTTTGAGTAGTTTTTTCTACTCTCCCTGGTGCTGACCCTGTAACATTCCTATGAGCAGAAATGTCATTATTTCATCACATATGAATTGAATATTCACAGTGATGGAAGTCAGATTTGGTTCACAGAAGCAGCATGAAGGGATTTGGCAGAGAAGACACCKCTCGTTCAGACAGTGCCAGCGATGATGATGAGCAGAGCCTCTGCCAGGGAAGGAGAAAGTGCATTGCTGCAAGAGCAGAGCTCACAGCAGATGGGGAGGCACCAAAGGATGGCAAGTATTTTGAAAGCTGCCTTTGGCTTTTAAATCTCTCAAGCATGTCTGTCTTAGGCAGGTTTCCCGTCAGGCTTCCAGACCCACATGAGGTACAGCTGAAACCCCATTGCTGCTGCTGCTGCTATCRCATCCCGAGTCCCAGCACAGGGAGGGTGGTGGTGTTTCTGCACTATAACTTTATCATTAATTCACAGATAAGAACTACCCCACTCTACAAGCTGGCGCAATGTTTTCACCAGTCCAGAGGGCCAGAAGAAAGTGAGAGCAGACCAGCTGCCTTCAGTGGTTACCTTTAAAGGCTACCAGTGTGGTAAACCTACCTCGGGGCCCTCACATGCCAGTAGGGGCACAGCAGGGATACAGCAAATGCACTCTGGTAGATAAAACTGGYGTGAAAAACTTCACTGGGCTAACTTGGAACTGGCAAGCTTCCAAACAGACCAGAGAAAGCTTGTTCTCCTGTCTTCAGTGGGAAAGGGTTGAGCCCTGGGCATGAATGGYTGTGGATCTTGCTGCACTCAACTACACATTGATCAAGCGATTTGATTTCTCCCTAAGGAAACAAAGAGTGAACACTATAATGTCCAGAAAGAGGGCATGTGACATCCMGTGTGAGGCCCTGGACAGGGGGAARARAACTTCAGCTGTGCTATACATCGCTTGGAGTTATTTTATTTGATTGGCRTAGGAGACAGCCTCCAGCCAGCTGTGCTCAGCCTTAGACACACTCTCATATTGCAGGGACTGGAGCTGCTTCCTCAGCCTGCAGCTTTTCTGGCTGTCCTGATGGTCTGGTAAACATCTGGAGTTTTTGGCACGGCCAAAGGATGCTCTAAGCATAAATAAAGTAGAAGAGATAGGCATGGTTCCCACCAGCCCCTGCCTCATGCTTCAAATTCTTTTGTGCATGGTGCAGATCCCAGCATCAGCACATTCCCCAGAGGGATTACACAGCGGGCCCCCTGCTAGAAGAGGCTGGAAACATGGCACATGGAGCTCCCTACATGATTCATTCAGATGTTCTACATTACCTGCAGTTCGTATTGAGAACTGATGCCAGACCCAACACACCTGTATCTTCTTTTTGCTTTCTGCCAGTAGAGATAGCTCAGAACTTTCCATATCTCCTGCCTCACCATTCCACTCTGTGTTTCCAGCTGGAAAAGCAGAGACTTTTTATTTTGCTCCCCAAGTTTGCAATGAACAGCTATGTCTCCAGGGCATGGAATTACAATCTCCTGTGTACCCAGGAACTGAACAAGAAAAGCAAAATCTCCACAGAGTTGACATCAATTACATTGATTTTACCGTCATAAAATAAATTTACACTCATAAATAAAATCTAAAAATGAAGTATTATCACAGCATTGCATGAATACTGTAATAGCATGAAATATTTTCTGAAACATACACATGTAGACATAARAGTGATGTTCATAAGAAATTCTGAAAGCAATAGTGCATGGCTGATTACTTCTTTGGAATAGATCAGAGCGTGAAAAATGTTACGTGCTGGCCTCTCAAGAGGGCTCTCACAGAATCTGATTGCAGAATCAGCAGACATGGAAGGGCTGATAATGGGRCACGGTCTCCATCCCCACCAGACTCTCAGGAAACTTTGTAAAGAACAGAGCGCTGWGTCCTGGGTGAGTGGATCACGCTCTCTTGATGGCTCCTCATGGGCTCCTTCTGCTCTGCCCAATACTTAGCAATGCCCAGCCAGTGACAAGAGTCTTCTCTGGTGACAGCAAGAAACTCATCAAGGTTGCAGCAGAAAAGACTGCCAGGGACTGGCTTTTCTGGTCRTGTATTGATGCACAAAGTGAGCTTGAAAGCGTGGTGGTAGTGCTTGCTAGCATTCAGTTTGACAGAAATGGAGGAAGTCCCTGGCAGGAAGAAATAAAAAAAAAATTAAAAGTTAAAAGTTAGATACTAAAAGTTTAAACCATCTCTTCATCATGATAGAGAATTTGAAAATAAAGCTTCTAGTCCAASAGATCACTCTGATCCTCCTTCAATGTGTTAGATAATCTCCTTCAGGAGACATTTTTTTCCAGACAACAGGGAAGCACGTCGTAATTTACTGTGCCATGTACACCACTCCTAGAAATACAGACCATTTAGAAACAGAAGCATTTAAAAGGTGKCAGCATGCATAGCTGAATGCAAGGGGAATTGGATCCTGTGGAAAGGCAGATTTTTGGGGGGCTAGAAGGCCCCCCAGAGGTCTCTAGTCCAACATGAGGTTTGCAGCATGGCTAACTCCAAAGCTGGGTCTGGCAGCTCAGAGGAAATTTCTYGGTGTCTCTGAAGGGTGGAGGTGACAGCTCTCTGGGTTCCAGTACAGYACCATGGTCAGGGGAGACTTTTGGGGCAATCCTGTTGGAATTTCCCTCATGGCGGCTTGTGTGTGTTACCTCATTTTCCCCCTGTGCATTGTCGAGGAGAGTTTGGCTGTCTTTACTGCCTTTATGTAGTGGAAAACTGCAGCGAGATCCCGCTGAGCCACCTTCCCTATAGGTCTAGGAAAGGCTGCCTGGTTGGGATGGGTGATTTGTTAGCTGGCTCTTTAAAAGCAGGACTTGAAGGGCAGATTCCCCTTGTCCTGCCGCGCAGGGAGCGGTGCTGAGTCAGCAGCAGTTTGTCAGTGCTCACCAGCATTTAGCACACAGCCCGGCAAGCATTGCACCACACATTTGATTGTGCGTAAGCTGCTAAATTATTTAATCATCTCAGGCATTAGGAGACTCAGAAAGGCTGAGAGCCAAGGGGAAAATGTCTCCTAAACCATTACATTGCATTCAGTGCTTTGTTAGATCAGCTGATTGACTGGATATTGCCACTGACTGMGTATCCTGTCACCTGAATGTCTTATTCAGACAAGAAATTGAAAGGTCATGCCTTGAGGTACTAAAAGTCCTAAGTAGTGTTTGGGGTGGATGGAACYGAAATGAAGTGCTGTGTGTACCTTTTCCTCAGTCAGAAATAAAACAAGGCATTTTAGCATCCTCCAAACAGATTTGTTTTGTGCCTGTGACTCCGAKTTCCCACCTGTCTTACAGTTGTGTGCACCCCTTCCTCCACCTCCTGCCATCCCTTCTGCACGGAGGGACCAGCTCAAACAAGAGCTGGCTTGTCCCACAAAGGGTGGCCGAGCCCTGCAGTTAATTCCAGACCTGGTCTTCTCTCCTGGTGCAGTAGACCACCTTCTCTTTCTTCTCTTTCTCGTAAAGTAGGAYATCAGGCTGAACAAATAACTTCTGCAGTTGCATGGATTGCAAGAAATATAGAAAGCAGGTCTTGGTGGTATGACACTCTTAAGTGTAAACTRTGATCCTGAAAGTAAATCCACCCATCTGTGCTTTTGAACTTGCTCAAGACTAAACTAAAATCCATGGCCCTGTCCTGAGAGTCAATAAGAGAATACTTGAATCTTGATTACCTAGCTGAAGGAGCTTTTGGAGTCAAATTGTTCTGGTAAGCYGCAAGCTAATGAACAGGTAGCTGATTCATGCAAAGGGTTGAAATAATGCCCTTTCCTTAGTGAAAATCTGAGAGTGCTGCTAAATCTTTTCTCTACTCCTGGCCTCAAAGGCACAACGTAGCAGCACAGTCCTGCTTGGCCCTCTGCTTATGCTTTTTTTTCCTACTATCGTTTCTGCTAACACCGTTGCCAGGGTCATCCAAACCTCCTTTTCCTAGGATTTTTTTGCATGAATTTTCACACTTGGTATTTTCTTCAGCTGTCTACTAACCAAAAAGATATGAATGAGTTCTGTGAAATTCAGACAGATGTATTCAGCGAAGTTCTGGGGCCGATAATCATCTTCTCCATGTTCGTATGCAACAAAATTTCTCCAGCAGTAACTGTAATCTAGGAAGAGAGATACCCAGTCACTCTTGATGAAAGGATGCTCAGTTCTTTCTTCATTAATGTGTCAGTGAGTCACTCATTTCTCAATAAGAACAAAGACAAAGATTTTCATACAAGGGATACATAAATAGCTACACGAATAAGTTAGTGGAAAGGGGAAACAAAACTCTGCAGATAGCAATATGTCTAAAAAAATATTTCCAGAGAGAGAAATTGATCACTGTGGTGGCTTGGGCAACTCTTACCACAAATAGCACACCAAGGCATAAAGCCAGAGCACATTTACCAAGAGAGAAGGAATCCACAAGTTGCAGAACTGAAATGGGAAGTGGGACATGCAGTCAGAGCTGGTCAGGCTCTCCTTTTGGCAGCCTTGTGCTTGAGAATACAACTTTGGTAAGACAAGTTGCTTCAATCGTGWCTCTGTCTGACTTATCCCAATGATCAGGGAAAACCTGGAGTGCACACTCTAACATTTAGCAGTTTCATATTGATCTTAGTGTTGATAGGGTGGGCAGAGCCTCTGTCAATGCTCTGSTGGTATAATCCCAGAGACAGTATCCCCAAGATAAGCCATGTCCTTTAAGATTCCATTTGACCTGGTGAGTTYTGCAGCTGCGCTCTCCAGTGGTGAGGTTCCTCTCTTCAAATATACACTCCTTTTTGTGAGCTGCTTGTCTGGACTATTTTTACAGCCGAACATCACCAGGCAAGCAAGACATACACAGAAAAAGGCACACRTCCATTCCATGACCTGAAAGTCTCCTTCAGACAAGCTTCCTTCTCTTCTCCAGCTACCAAGGGAAACCAATTAGGRTGCAGCTGACAAGCTGATATGCTTGTGTGTTCTGGGAGGGACAGGTTGTCTTATGCCCAGGGTTTTTCACTGCATCTAAAGGAGGTGTGGATGGCTAGAGAAGCCTCTTACTCTCTATGCTCAGATTTGGCAAGAGGAAATGACCACTCTGGCCCTGCTGCTGTGTGGGATCAGGGAAGAGATAAAGCAGAAGAGTGACCTTTTTGCACTCACTAGTCCTCCCCAAAGCCAATCATCCCCTCTATTACAAACTGAGAGTGCRCATGATCCCAGAACCATCATTCCACACTTGGACAAAAAGAARCTGGGTTACCTTCAAGACCCATGATAAGTACAGTGACCTCATTCCTCATCAGGTTGCGGAGACCTTCTCGGTTACGGTTATCGTGGTGCCTGAACAGCCTGGCTGCGTATATTCTCAAGGTCACATTAGGGTGTGACCTCAGGAACTCCACAATCCTTTTGGARCAATTTCCACAGGGACTAGCTGAAAGGAACCAGGTGATGGAGCAAGGAACTTGTGGCCTGTTATTGAAMCAATTTTCCAGGAAGTTGACTTCAGCATGCTGATGAGGATTGCTTGAGCACCAGTTCCTCCAGATGGAACGTCTTCTCCACCTGATTTCATACAGCAGGTACACRCTCCGTTGATGATGGTGGCTAGGTGAGTAATATCTTTGGAAGTCTCTTGGCTCCATCTTCCACCTGAAGAAGAGTACCAGCAGCACTGTGATCCCAACTCTTCAATGATGTTTGTCCCCATTGTGCGTTGCCTGCTCTCATTATCAGCCAGGCCTCCCACTCCCAGCTTTTCCCATCAGGAATGAGCAGCTTGAAGAATGTTGCAATTCAGCCATCTAAATCTGGAATTTCATCAAGGCTTCAGAACACCCCCAGCACCTCCTTGAGAACTGTAGGGTGGGTCAGCAACCCACTCACCCCTCAGAGATCAGCACCAGTAAAAGCAGTAAGACAATGGGAAAGGAAGATTGAGGAAAGGGATAGTAAGAATAAAAAGAGGCACAAGGCTGTCTCTGGAAATTGCCATGGAGCTCAGGCAGCAGTCAGTGATAGAGCTACATCTCTTACCCTTGGTTGTTCTCTCTGGATGAGGGATCTATGCAGAAAAAAAATTGTGAGTCACTGAGGATATCAGGTTGGAAAACACTACGCTTTCCTCTACGCTTTCTGTCCAGACCCCTTTCACTCTATACACTCCCTGCCAGATCTCTTWTCTCTAAATTAATAAGTAATCACTGCACAGGAGGATAGGCATTCTGGGATGCAGGAGGTGTGAATTCCTACCTGGAAGTTGAACTTGATGGTTGTTTAAATMATGTTGTATGTGAACCCTTGCTCAGTTTAGCACATTGTGGTTGATTGTATAAACATCCAAGTTTAAATGCACTGGTTTCAGCAKTACTGCACCTGTTTTTCCCTGACTAATCACACAGCAGAATCAAATCTCTTTTCCCTTTAAATCTTCCAAACCACTTCTACAAGACAGGCAAAAGTTGAGCCATTTTCCTGTTGGTACATATAATTCTGGCAATCTAGACAAAAACATTTTCACAACCAACTTCCCTTCTTCGTTTAATCTGTAACTTTTTCAAAAACTAAAAAAAAAAAACAGTGCAAAGGAAAACATACCAACACAGGGTGATTTCTGACTAACAAATACATACAGGGCACCAAGGCAGACCTGCCTGATTATATACATTTTGTCTCTCATGGTGGCAAGCAACTTTGACCCTAAGACTCATTCATCCGTTCCCAGCTGAGGGTCTAGAGGAAAAACGTTAGCTGGTAATCAAATCTTTTGTTTTGATTTTGTTTTGTAAAAATCCAGCAAYAGAAAATTTAAGTACCTAGGAACTGTTATTTATTTGATAAAATAATTTTTTGTTTAATTTAAAAAAAAAAGTTTAAGTATCTATAAAATAAAAATAATGAATCGTATTTTTCATTTTTATATGTTATAGATAATATAATGACGTTTTTCTCTAATTTACTTAGAATTAAGATGCTAAAGGCATTTTTCAGCAGCTTAGCTCTATAAGATGAGAAATTATGAATTATAAAGAGTGAATCTATATTTTAGCAGGAATAAAATAGTTTTCCATATAAACAGACATGATCAACTTCTTGCACAGCCTTATTGCCCTGATCCTTAAGAAAAATATTCTAGTTATTTATCACAATGAAAATAAAATAGATGAATAGRTAAGCTGACTAAATTGCTCCATCCTTAAATGCCTTTGAGATYTCTTTCCACAGTAAAATTTCTTTTGGATTTTAGATTCTTCCTGCCATACCAAGGTTAWCAAAATTATATTAGTATTTTGAAGCTGGACCTAAGGCTCTAGATATGGTAATGAATTCAAAGACATAAAACACAAATCCACAACTGTCTCTTGTGTATCCTCATGTGCCAACAAAACACATTTGTGTCTATGCTYGGGCTCTTTAGATACAACTATAGTAAATATCTGCACTTGAATATGGAAAATCATGCCAGCCTTTCATGTAAATGTACTTACCTCTGCCACTGACAGCAGCCATGGGTATTTCTGGATTTTTGTGTTGCTTCCTGGGAGACTGGTGCGCCTTTATTAGTCCTACATCTGTTTCGGTTTCAATTCCTGAGTGAGAATGCTGATCTTTGGGCCTTACCGATGCTGCTCAGCTGAGCATTTCCTCATGGTCACTTTCCTCATGCCTACCTACACCACCCCACCGACTGGAGGTGAAAGCAAGTTCCTGGCACCAAAGAACTGCAKTTGGGGGTGATTTTGGAATTAACAGGTAAGCCACTTCTTTTGCAGTGCAGACAGAAATTACATTTCTTTGTTACTTYTAGCTCCAGAGCAGAAAAGCAAATGTTCTCTAGTCACCCCAGTGCAACGAGAGAGAAAAGCATCTGCACAAATGGCACCAAGTCACACAGCTGTGGCCTGGCATGTCACTTTTCTGACACCCAGATGCCAGGAGGAAGCTGAACAGAACCCACCGGGGAGAGGGAACAGAAGACATCATGTGCAGAAGCCTGTGAGTCTGTGCAACTCCAGCAGGTGGTGGTGGTCACTGCCATTKCCCTTGGTGGCACAACTCCTGCGGAGTTCCAAGGACATCACACACCCCCTTGAGCCTGGGTCCTCACGAATCAAGGAAGACACTTCACGTGTGTGACCTCTGAGCTGTGAGCAGTGCCTGGGCAGCCACTCTCAGGCCAACTCCCAGCAAGCTGCCCAGAATCCAGGAGAGCTCTGGCAGCCAACACCTTGCTGTGAGGCAACACCCAAATATTTTTGAAATACCACAGCTGAGAAGAGCTCTGCACACAGGTAGACACCCTGAGAGCAAGACCTGGGCCACTTGTGGAGGAGTAKCTGCAGAAACTATTGCTCATTGTATCAGTTCACTGATGTAAATAGAACAGACATTTTCCAGTGCCCTGAGAAATCTGCTCAGCGTTATGAACTGAACGTCACCTTCCTGTGATTGGTTCTGTAACTCACACAAGATGCAGCAAAAGAGTATTTCCCATTCAGTCCAAAAWCATTACTGAAACAATGCTAGTTTCTAATGAGAAGCTTTCCTCTGACTGACATCCCCAAAACTGGTTTGCAGAGGGAAGGAATTACAAAAGAATTCTTCATATRGCTTAGGTAGAATCAATCTCTGTGACTTACAGCTTTTTCTGGTTTTRTGACAACTATTTTGTGGCTTGATGCAAACTGTAGAAATGGATCCCTGGACAAAGCCATTGCCTTCCTTGGTGCCAAGCCTGGTGTGGGATTGTAAAGCTAAGASAGTGATTGAGCTGTATCCTCTGCAGCAAGCTCTCAGTATTCTATTGCCAACAAGCATTCCATTTCCTACTGGGGCAGGAAAAAACAGAGGGGTACACTAAYAGTGGAGTTCAGAGGAAGCAGGGATTCAGGCACTGGCAGGACTCTGTCAAGGGAAAGATCAGTTGAGGTAGGTCATCAGGCAGCGCCAACACAGTCAGCCCTTGAGGCTCTTCTGCTGCAAGGTCACTCCTCACTTCTCAGCACAGAATTGTTCTCTAGTGGTTGCAGTACTTCACCACACAGGAAAGTGAAGGAGATCAACTCAAATGCTCAAGAGATTCTTGAAACAAAAAAGTGATGACTAATGTGGTTTTGAGTTTGTGGACATGATCCTCAATGAGACCAGGAATGCTTTGATGCTGTAGTGCTCTCTTCACTGCCCTCTCCTTGCAGTAGGTATCTACAAACAAGCAGGTGTGAATTAGGCTTAGAGGTGATTAGTCTGATCTGCAAGGAATGGCTTGATTAACAGCAGTAGTTCCTGGTAGAAAACCAGCAACGCTCCACAGAAARTGGAGAGAGAAGAATGAGTCAAGCAGGAGCAGGGAATTAGCAATACAAMATTTTCAGGAAGCTGACTGTGCTTTATGAGATGGTGTAAAGCCAAAGGWRGRAAAAAAAAGAGAAAATTGGAAATACTCTGTTACTCCTATCAGACTAATCAGAGAGGAATCCTTTCCAAATATAGTAGTTGCTTTAACCCTGATAAAATCAGAAAGACAAGGCTGTGACACAAGTGAATTTTGATATTTCTAGAAGCATTTGCGTATTCATTTTATGGGTACCATACTTCAGTGAGTCAAGAGGATGATGACTTCCAGAAGGATCATATAACTAGGTGGGAAACCTGTTTCTTGGTTTTTATGAGCAACCAGCAATAACCCGGTATCCCTTTAAATTGCTACGTGCCTGTGGCAAGGGTCATCTGTGTAGGTGGGGTCTCATTTTGCTCAAACAACTGTGACAAAAACTTATTCTACTTCTCATGCCATCAGTTGTGCCCCCTTACAGAAGCTGCTTAAGGTAACRTTAGAGATAAATGTGAAGGTGGTTCATGATGCTGAGCTATCAGTAATGTCTGAATATATCTCAACCACTCCTGCAAATGCTTTTTTTTTTTTAATAACCATCACCCTCATACGTATACCTCATGAACYTGAATGCATTTTGGAGCAGCCTACACAGCAAAGTGTCCACAGAATGGCAGACATACACTCACTCATGTCTCCTTTAAACACCAGGCTCCTTAGACCTTCATGGCMATGTTCACTTTGGTGGCTGCAGAGCCATGCTGTCTACATATCGCCAGATTCACCAGCAAAAAAGAATCTAGAAGCTTCACAGTTTCTTCAGAAGAGGAAAGGGCGTCCAGGATGCTTCACAAAGGGCCTCCAAGATTCTGCACTTCTCTAAGTGACAGAAGTGGACAGAGCAGCAGAGAGACAGRTCCCTGCGACATCTCCCGGGAAAGAGATTGCAGCACAAGAGTTCTGCAGCATGACTATGACAGAGGTGCTGTCTGCTGATGTACCACTCCCTTTCCTCAAAGGTCTTTTAGCTTATCTGACTCCCAAAACCCAAGATGTGCATCTGRTAACAAATCTGGACTGAGACAGAGTCCTAGAAATGGAAATATATGGAAGAAATTAGGGAAGATGGACTGTCAGGTGATGGTCGGTGATGGAAGAGACAGGGCGGATTGCCTGGATGCAAAGAGCCCATTTTATTGATACAAAGCTGAGTATTTATACTTTTCCAGCAGTAACTAAAAACAGATCCTTATATAAACAGTGATCACTATAACAACCATACCTATGTTTTTTAATAGTATTGCAAAACTAAGAGCTGGCACTGTCCAGCACAGGTACATAGCAAACAGGCCATTCTCTTATGTTAGTTATTTTGTGATAGGCCACAATTTGTGGCCAGGCAATGTTACTGTGTCCACCTCTGACACGAGCTGAGCTTTCTGCATTCTAGCTGTATCTCCACAATGGACAGCTAAGGGAAGAAAGGGGAGCACAGAAGGAAAGTTAAATCAGACATCAAAGAAGACAAAAAGGGAACAAGGTTTAAATCAGCTGAGATCCCAATTTACAAATCTCTGAGGATTTTACAGGTATTGAGCTTTTTGTTCTTCGGCTGAATGATGTATTGGGAAGAGGTGAGAATCAYCAAGTGAAAGTCTGGAAGCAAAGAGGAAGGTTAAATTTAAATATGACAAAAGACTGGGGCTTATGCCACAGAGGCTTAAGTCTCAACCTCCACTTACAGGCTGCCTCCTGGACTTAATTTCAAGTGGTAAATCCTGTGTTAGTTCAAGTGTTCTGCTGCTGACACATTTGACAGTAAAAGGAAATTCCACTGTATGTTTACTTGGATTTAATGGAGTTTTCTCAGTAAGTATCTTTATCTTTTATGGAAAGAAAAACCACATAGAGTCTTTTGAGATTTATTCTGTGACATTTACAAAAAGGCTAAAATACGTTTGTGTATGAACCCATACGTATGAATTCACACTCATKAAGATATTTACAGATATTTACATATATGTGTATGCACAATAGTGCAATAACACATACAAAAACAAGCTTGTAGATACACAAATACATCTCCTTGGCAGTGTATTACTTTGAAACTCTGATAAGCACACCCACCCATGCCTCTTTTATCTCTCCTAGTACCTTTGCTTTCATTTCCTCTGCAGGCTCCGTAGCATCACCGCACTTTATTGAGACCCMTGTTCAGCCTCCATACGTGGCAACCAAAAGGTAAGAGATTAATTTAACTGGTGGCACCCTGCCACTGCTGGGTGAGCTTTATGAGGCTGACTGAACAATTAAGTGGAATGGCAGCCAGCCATGACGGTGTGTGGGAAGAGCTCTCACCTAGGCAAAGGGAAAAATAATTGGCAGGTGGCAAGGACTTATGTGCGTGCTTACTTCAGTAACAAAACTTCCTCATATCCTCATAATGTAATTCTTTCACATTAACTGGTGAGCTCAGAGAAATCAAGGAATTTCCCAGATCATCAAAGATACTTCATGAAGAATCAGTGTGGGAAAAAAAAGCTGCAAGTGAACATACTCGTATTTTCGAATATGTTTTTCTACTCTAAGCAATCCTTCTACAGTCTTCTCACTCTACTTTGAGTCATGCAAGTTCTATATATTTTCCTTTCAGATTTTGCCTAATTTCTATGTTTTTGTTTCAACGCACATGCTTTGTGTCAAAGCACTGAGCAGAGCAGTAAGTATCCCAAATCCAGTAGGGATTATTGTCCATGCTCAGCTTCAGAGCCTGAGTCAATCGTCACAAAACTGGCAGAGTTTTAAATGTGAGTGGTCTCGCATAACCAGGTGGACTTCACTTGAGGAAGAGCAATGTTTTTCTACAGGTTGTACCAAGGAGAGTGTTCAGAGCAGCTCTAGGAACTTTCATCTCTGAGACTTTCTTTTCCAGGCACTCAGGGATTGTTCAATGACAAACATATATGGTTAAACTCTCCCCAGAATTCACCTGGAACCCATAGCTCCCATGCGGGGTAAAACCTCCATCAAAAGCACAAAGCATTCCYCAGAACCAGGCATTACAACCTTTGGGTACCATCAAGGAGGGAGGTAATTTTCCTCATAGCACTCCATAATTCCTGGGCCCTCTGTGGGCAGTGTGTCAGTGGAAAACACAAGTGATGGTGGCCAAGACAACCAATTTATTTTTTTTTTAAGTCTTCAGGGCACTGAGAGGCACAGACCACAGTGATTGTCTTTGGTTTTTATTGTGACGATGCTGTAGAGGCCCTGGAAATGAAACAACACATTTTKGAGACATATTAGTATATGAGATAATAGAAAAACTGGTCTTTATTGGRGGTCTCCAGGAGCAGATATGGAAAAAACACCCACAAAAGCCCACCCCCACAGGGTGAATAGGAGTTTGGCAGATTAGCACATTTGACAAGAATTCCCGATTAGAAGCGCAGGTGATGAGCTAATTCCCCCTTCTAGTTCAACCCTTTTCTGGACCTCCCCCTTGGTACTAGCTGTACTCTTTTTTTGAAAATGTGTCTTGGAGGGGTTTTTTTGGCCTTGGTARCCAGGGAGAACCAAGATAGGCTGGGGACTCCTGGAATGTGTTTGGTCTTTCTGGCTGGGGAAAACTGTAGGGAGAAGTACTAGGGAGGCTGCAAATATATGTGTAAAGAATACAGGGAATATATAACTGAAAAAAAAAGCAAAAATCATTCTGGCATTCAGTGAAAACAGTTTGGGGTCCCTCCTGGGAATGTCACAGACTTGCTTTGGTCAAAAGCCTGCTACAATGCAAACAGGGGCTGAGTGTGGTAAGACAAGGCCAACAGACAGTGCRAACAAGAGCAAAGCAAAATGAGCCTTGGCACAGACAGGGGATCAGCAATCTCCAGAACAACCCCCAAAGCTGCTGGGAAGGTTGTACTGTGATATCGCTTGTCTGGCAGCCTGTGCCAGCAAAGAGATACTTTGGAGACTGAGTGGGGAACACTTGGTGCACATTAAAAATTTYGCTCAACAGTTTCACATTGTCTGTGTTTCTCTTTCCCATCCTCCCAGAACAACCTGTGGGATCAGTTTCCTCTCCCTCCTTAAAAAGCACAAGGGATTTTCAGTGGATTCATCTAGTGGGCCCAGTTTCAGGATGGGCTTGCAAATAAAAATACTTTCTTACATCTTTTAGCTATCTGAGTGGAGATGCTGAAATGCAATGACCATGGATACTGTGATTCTCATTCCACAGTCACACCCCTTGCTGGATGGAGGATTTGCTCCTGTTGAACGGAGCACCTGTGGATTTTCAGAGCTGCTTTTTAAAACCAAGTCCTGCTGTCAGTAATGGGTTATAGCTTCCACTGAGACGCTGGAACATCCTGTAGGTTATCAGAATCTTTCAAATGCAGACTGGTGTTTCAGTGATTGATGATGAGATATCAGTGTAGCGAGAACTGACACCCTGATTTGCTGATCAGTGTAAAACAGGGACGAGTACTTATTCACGTGGTTAACTATAAGAACTATGTAATAGTTATTATATTATATATAATAACTACTTATAGTTATTATGTATTATGTATTATGTATTATATATTATATATTATATATTATATATTATATATTATATATTATATATTATATATATTGTATATTGTATATTATATATTGTATATTATATATTATATTTTTATATATATTGTATTGTATTATAGTTATTATATACATGCTATAATAATAGTATGTAACTCCTGGGATCTTCTGCTCCAGCAAATTGTGGATGCAGACAGCAGGACAAGGGTAGAAACAGAGCCATATATGGACACTAAAGGTAAGATGCAGGGTTCCCACACACAGGCATTGTGGGTACTGAGTTAGTGGGACAGGATCAYGGCAAACCACAGATAGTGGCCAGGATTGTCTGCCCTCTGCAAAAACCAGCCCCTCTGTCACAGCTAGATACAGTGTCTGGACCATGCTTTCTGCCCTGATAGGGAATTTTCTGTGGTTTTACTTTCACTTTTGATACTTTCGCATCTTGAGTTAAGAAACWAAATTAGCTTAGAGGACAGCAAGTGTCCAGAGAGGTTCTTTTTGGCACCTTGACCATCTCTTGCCAGATGATGGGCCCTGGGACCCCAGGAGCCCTGTGTTGGAAGATCATGACTGAGGGAATGATAAACCCAGATACAACCTTGAAGTGGTTCAAGGGTGGCTGCTCCAGATGGATGCACATGAATCTGTGGGGCCTGATGGGATTCATCCCAAGATGCTGACAGCTGACTGATAGCATCGCATGACCTTCTGTTATTTTTCGATGGTCTTGGGAGACTGGAATGGTTCCAGGTCAAGTGGAAGATGGCAATGTTGTTCCAATTTTCAAGAAGGGTCAGAGGGAAGACCATGGTAATTACAGACCTGCCAGTCTCACTTCAATGCCTGGTGAAGTTAGGAAGAAAGTTATTCTGAGAGACAATTACTCGGTCCCAAGAATGTGATCCTGGACCACCTACTCTGAGGTAGCCAACATTTGGCATAGCCTTGGGCTAAATTAAGGCACAACAATACCAAGTGATCAATTAGAAAGTTTTRTTTATATAGGCCACAGCAATTTAAGCTGCAGGACAGGTTCAGCAGCCTGCAGCAGCAACAATTTAAACATTTCTGAACAGCTTGAAGATTAAACCTTTCTGAACAGCATTGGCAACAGCAATCTTTGAACAACCTGCAGTAGCAGTAAATTAATCTTTTAAGCAGAAGAAGAAAGGAGGAAGGAAAGAAAGGAAAACAGAGGTAGAGCAAAAAGATCTGGTCTTGTCCAGTTTCTACATACAGCAAGGTAAATACCCTCTCTTTCCCCAGAGAGAGGATACATACATCAGGCTGGTGACCGGCCACCACTGGGGCTCCTCAGGGCTCAATTTTACAGCCAGTGACCTTCAATGTTCTTGTAAATTATCTGCATGGAGGAGTCAAAYGAAGGAATCAAAATTAACTCATTTTGCCAATGATACTAAACTTAGGAGGATCTGTGGATTCCCTTGAGGGTAAAGAGGCCCTGCAGAGAGATCTGGATACTAAAGAGCTGTGCAGTCACTAACCTATAAAATATTACAAGAACAAGCGCTGGATTCTCCATTTGGGACAGGGTAATCCTGAAATTGAAGTAATCCTGAAACCGATGACCAGTGATAGGACTGGTGTAAATGGAATGAAGCTGCATTAGTGGATGTTCGGCTTGGRCATCAGGAAAAGGTTCTTCACTGAGAAGATGTGCAGTCAGAGGAACAGGCTCCCCATGAAAGCAGTCACGCCATCAGGCCTGTCAGAGGTAAGCAGCACCTGGACGATGCTTTTGTCATGTTGTTTAGTTTTAGGTAGTCCTGAGAGGAGAAAGAAGTTGGACTKGATGATCCTTTYGGGTCCYTTTCAAARCYTGAGATAGTCKGGGATCCTTTGATTCTATTAATAACGGCGCTGAAATGGAAATAGAAGTGTGACATTTAGATCCTCTGATTGCACTTTGAACCTGATATGATTTGAAAAGGATATAGCAGAAGTAGTTTGTTCATTATAATAGCCCAGGATGTTTTATTTATTTTCTACATATGCCGTATAAAATGGATTTCCCAAATAATCAGTGACCCACCTAGCCACAGATTTTTTTYGCCCTCATTCACTAAAAACAGCATTTGTCAGAAAATTCTAGTACATTGAAATCAAAGTGTTGCAGAACTTAAACTACTTTTGCTAGATTTTTTTTTTTAAATAGTCCTTGCAGGACTGTGGACCTGCTCCTTCAAGCGGGGTCTCTTGTCTCCAGGGACACAAAATTCCAGCATTGCTGTTGAACACACCCTGTCTTCTGCCTCCTTCTGACTTTCAGAAGGTTTCTGGCACCAAACAAAAAACAAAGGCTGGATTTTCCCAGGGTACAGACATTCTGTTTTGAACAGCTTTTCTCATCTCACAGAAACTGTACTCTTCCAACCAGTCAAGGAAGTTACTGAATGGAATCTGGAAGGGACTTCAATGAATTATGCAGGGGCCCAGTGACTGGGGGGTGTCAGACAGTGACAGAAGGGGGCTGAGTAGCACCATCTGGTGAGCTGAAACCCATGCTCACATCCAGCTTAAAAAGAAATCTGATAGAGGGCTTTTGGAATGAGACTGGAGTTCCAGGCAAAAACCAAGGAATTTCCCACTCTGCAGCCCAAATGAGAAAAACTGCACTCTTAGCTTTTCCTTCATAATATGATGGAAAAATACCCACCGTGCTTTTCTCCCAATGGGACAGRATAGTTCCCATGATTTTACTATGTTTTTCCAAAAGCCTGCTGCAGTACTCTTTGAAGTCCATCTAGGTGTGAACAAGAGCTAGATGTGAACAAGAGCTTCTTTCCTGCTCTTTACAGCTCAGTTGCCCTAGACTGCAAATCATTTCGTATGATTCCCTCTATCTCTCGAGTGTACTGACCTGAAGGACATAGTTGAGCCTCCTACGATTCCTACTGATCCCTGGTGCAAAGTTCCAGGTCCAGTCGTCGTCATCATCATAATCATCATCATCATCATCATCATCTCTTTGTACAAAGTTATACCAACAGTAACTATAGTCTGGAGAAATAGAAGCAAGATAATTAACCCGAGTTTATTCAGATACCAGAGAAGCTCAGGGAACAAGACTTTTTAAGCTCTTCCTTGTGTCCATGTCACAGAGACATGGACAGAGCTTCGCCATGGACAGCTGATGGATGCTGCCCACTCCATATTTGGAGTTAATACTATTCACTCTAGGCAACTTTTTCCCCTCCCTTAATTGCAGAGGAGCTCTTCAGCCAGCCTTATCCCAGCAACTGTGATTAATCCCTTAGGACAAGGGAGAAGCACCATATCTCCCATTCCTTCAGGAGCGCCACAAGGATGGTATCTCCAAAGGAGAATTTTCACACAGATCTGRTTGCTAATGGTCCTGTCCCTCTTCTCCTGCACTGTTTAAACATCTCTTTTTGGATGTGACACTCAGTCACTGGGTGGTGACGGGTGTGCCCCCAGAGGAGCTGGGGTGGGACMCGGGGTACCACAGAAGCAAGCCCATACCCGATTCACCCGTGCACAAAATTCACCAGCTCACCCCTCCCCAGTCCCACAAAGCATGAGGAACCTTGCCTGCCATTTCCATGACTCTGATCCTTAATCTGTCTGTCAAGCTGTCAAGTGCCCTCAGGCCTCTGCGATTTGCTTCAATGTTTGTGTAGTAGAGCCGTGCTACGCGTATGTCCATGTGCACGTTGGGGCAACGCCGCAGGAATCTCAGTATTTCATCGCAGCAGCGTGCACAGGGGCTCCAGGACAGGTACCAGGAGATGTGACAGCTCCTGTTACTTCTCAGCTCAAAGATTTCATTCAGRAAGTACTCTTCTGCATGACGATCGTCATCATGATCATTTCTGACCCAGTGTGTCCAGCTCCTGCCATTCTCACCCCACCACAGCTCGCACAGCAGGTATGTCTCCCGTGGAAACTCATAGGGATCAAACTGTTCTTTTAATGTGTCCTCATCTATAAACCAGCTGAAACAGAAGAGAAACTTCATCACTTTATTTTCAGTAGTACTCCAGTACATTAAAAAGGGGGAGGGTGGAGGAAATCAGAGAACTGAGAAGGGCAAAGCACGAGAGAGCAACACAAGGAAAGCAAAGAGGCAGGCACCAGGCTGGGTCAAGGAACTAAAGGAACCAAACCCTGAACTACTAAACCTCCCCTGGTCTACAGCTGCATGAGGAACTTCCACCACCTCCCCCCTCCCTATGCCTACCCTCTTCCTCATCAGTGGGAGTACTTCTAAAAGCTCTCTGTACTTTTTCATGTGTCAGACATTTTTGCAAGGCTCCTATGTAGCCCTTTTCAATGTAGGGGGCTGTTGTAAAAACTAGGAAAAAAAAAAAAGAAAGTAAATGCCCTGATGAACTGTGAAGCTGAGTATTTCTGCTTTATTGGATTCTCTTGCTGTTTGCATTTTCATAAGGATTAGCACAGTTAGCACAATCCTGCATGAGAGAATAATAAAACTATTATATAAAACTATACAACTCCCAGGATGGATATTTTCTCAGTTCAGAAATGACCTCTAAATATTGTCAGTTAAGGACCTGTACAAATCCTGCCAGTGCTGGTCATGAACATATCCTTTATACTCAGTAATTATCCCTAATAAATAAACAATGAAGTGTCCAGAGGCACTTCGTGGCCTTTGTACAATTGCCTTATCTATTTATACGAGAATGCATTTCAGATACATCTTTTTCCACATTAGAATAATTCAGAGTGAATCTAGTGGACAACTGATCAGAATCTGAACAGAGATGCAATAAGCCTGTAAATTGTTTTATAGATTAGTACTCATTAGTAATAAAAACAAGAGCAAAAACAAAGAAAAGCAAAACAAAAAAAAATAAAAAAAACCACAAAAAAAATTTAAAAACCACAAACAAACAAACAAACAAACCAAAATTACAATCGAACAAGTCACAAAACCCCCCAGGTCTGAACTAGGGACAAATGAAATCTCACAGAAGAAGTTACTGTCACATATTCTCTATCTGCAGGACTTATCACCTATGTAAAAAAGCATCTAATTTATCTGAGTCAGTCGGAAGGCTTTGTCTTCTTATCCTGTCTTCTTCCTCATCCCAGCCTCCTACACATTAAAATACATACGTAAAAAAAATCAGCTTATAAACCACAGAGTGTATGTCTCTTCATCTTCTCCATGTAAACTCAGTTTATATAAAACAAAGAAACCATGCACGTGGTATCTTGTGGAATGATAAAATTTCTTTATCAGATTTCCTATTAAATTTATGTAAATGTAATAACAAATGTGAATGTCACTAAATGTTTAGTTCTGGTACAGGAATAATTTTTTTATTATATGTAATACCTTTAGTTAAAAAAATACTAAGAGGGACAGACTCAATTTTATGCTTTCTCGTTTGAGGTGTTAAAAGAGATGCTTTTTTTTCTATTTATATTATGTATTTTGTAAGTCAATGTCTATTAGCTGAAATTTCCTTAAAATTCAATTTTTAGAGAACATATATAGATAATATAATTATGTCATAGGTTCACAATATATATAAAATATGTGTGACTTGGTTGAAGTTCACCAAAGAAAATTCATTAAACTCCCAATATTCAAGCCAAATCAGTTAATTTAATTTTTACAGAAGATACCTTGAAGGTTTTGGAAAGCAACGTCATAGCAGATTACAGAGATCTAATTTGTTCAAAGGTATATGTAGATATTGCCATCTGATTATAACACACAAACAAGTTAAAACTTCCAAGTCTTACTTAAATGGGTCTTAAGCACCCTCTCACCTCTGTTTTGACCATAAAACATTGCACTTTGGACAAGCTATTGCAATGGGGGCCCTGTGCATATTTTCAGGGACACAGAGCCCTTTCTTTAGAACAATCTTGAAATACATTAATATTCAAGATATAGACACCTTAGGGATGTCTATAGTGTCTAAGTTGCRTGAAATTTATGGTGTAATCAACTTAATAAAATATGACCAAAAGTCTGCATTCTTGTAAATATTTGCTACAGCTATAACTTGGTATTTTAAAATAGTAATTGATGAAAAGTTAAACAGCTCTACCAGAAGAACAGAGAAGAAATTTTAAAACTGTGACAAAACATTCACACACTATAGAATACACACAGAAAGGTAGTGTTCATTTTTCTCCCCAAGCCAGATAAGGGAATATTTAAAATAAATTGTGAATTTACAGATAAATAGATCAAAGACATGCAAACACTTCAAGGTTTTTTTTAAGTTTTTATAGTTATCACCAGCAGTCCTTGCTGTTCAGCATTGTTATGCATGGTATACGTATACATAAAGAGAAAATCAAGCACGTAGCAGCTATTGATACAAATATGAGACAAAATTCATAGTTAATAAGTAATAAAATATATAAAGAAAAAAACATTATTTTTCTTTCTAAATTTGGATCATCAGTCTCATAGAGGTGAAATTATAATCCTTTCAGAATTTAAGAGCTGCAGAGAAACGCACTGTAAAGTGTGACTAATAATTTGAAAGGCGGATTGTACCCCAAAATGTTTAGAGGAATTAGGGGAGAAAATGGCAGAGGAATGACAGCCAACATAACTGTCTCCTAGGCTTTCTTTTCGTTTTTATTAATATGCAGCTGCTATGTAAATGTGCATTAAACCTTGAAAATGTATTGACTGATTACGAAATACATTTTAAAATGTGTTATATATATATATCCCGTATTGTATTGTCCCATCATCCGTAACTTGAACAGGAATGCAGTGAGATTATTTTAAAATGTGCTAATTTTACAAAAACTGGTCCTAAAACTAATATATCTTCTATTAAAATTGTGTTATAAACTGCATCATTATAGATATTTAATTTTTCCTTCCTTCCTCTAACAATTTTTATTAGAAACTATTTAAAACTCTGTTCATTGCAAGATAATAATAGTAATAATGATAAAAATACATGAGCAGAGATACACCGAAACTTCTTTAATCCACATTTTTTGTCCCTTACTAATGTTTTGCACAACTGAGGCACATCTTTACCACATTTTGCATTGAAACTTCCCCTTCTCCCCCATCAAACAGAAAATGGTCCGAGACACTTTATTTTGGGTGAAAACAGATGTCTCAAGACCTCGAAACTGCCAGCAAGGAAGAGGCGTTTTCAGCTTCTCTTGCAGCGCAGCTTTGGGGCGAGCCAACTCCTGCCTTAGCCCTTGCCCAGCACATCCCCATCTTTCCTTCGCTTTTGCCAATGCCTTTTGTTTCCCGGTGGTTTATGGCTCCCGGGACAGCTTTTGAGCCGGTGGGAACTCTCCCAAGAAGTTCAGAGTTCAGTGCAGCCCCCCATGCACACTGGGGACACAGGTCCCGCTCAGGTACCAGCCACCAGCGCTGCCCTCGCCCTTGCCCACGCATGGCACAGACTCTGCACAGACGGAAAAACTCCCCCGGGCAGCAAAGCGAGGGGTCCCCTCGGGCTGAARCAGCAGCAGCAACACAAAGCTGAAGCTGGGGTGCTTGTTTTAGGTCAGCAAGTTCTTTTACCCGCTCAGGTCTCTCCTGTACATGGCTGCTCCTTTCCCTCGTGGTGCTGTCCTCCTTTCTGTCCCTCGGGGCTCCACACACGGCCACAGGCAAAGCACACCCCCAGGCTCCGCTGGCACAGGGCGATGAAAGAGCAAACAGGAAAAACAGGAAACCTTTGTCTGACCACAGTTGCAGCCTCTTAATGACGTATCTACACATGCCTGCCCCTAGCAGTGCTGTCTCCTCTCTCCTCACCTCTTATCAGAGCTGCGGGGACTGATCCCTGCTTCCAGCCAAAAAAAAACACCGTAATTGAACAATCTCTTTGAAGCTTGCTTCTAAGTTTCAAAGGGATGATAATGTCTCCTTGGCAGAAAAATGTGATTTCTTYTTCTGTGTAGGACACTCTTCCCAGGGTCGCAGGTGTTCTGTGGGGCATACAGACCTCTCCTGAAGCATCTGAAGCTCAGCTCTGTGGAAAGCATGGCTGGTTCTGCCTTGTGCATCRCTGGATCTTTCCATGCTGTCACAGCTTTGTCAAAAATGAAGCGCTCACAAATACCACTCATGAGGGACTTCAGTCACAGTGTCAGTAAAGCTTACTCACCTTCCCTGCCAAAGCCAGCGGGGCTTTCCCTGTGGTYCTGAGCAGTGCTGCCTGAACACAGGGCGGCCAGCATCTGAAGTGGTGTTAGATTTGCTCGCTGCCCCTACTCCTCYTGCTACTCTGTTTTATTAAAATAGCTGTTCTTAAAGTCAGTCAGCTGTTCTTAATGTATTGTCAGGCCTTTCTTACTTAGAGCCAGTACGTACCCTGCACCATCTCTCTTCCACACGAGTGATCYTGGCCAGGCCCCTGAGATGCACACATCTTGGAACTGGACTTTGATTTGATCCCTGTGAATCCCCTTGTTGCAGGAATGATTTTTACTTTTTTTTTCAGTTATGTATTCCCTGTATTCTTTGCACACATATTTGCAGCCTCCCTAGTACTTTTCCCCACACTTTTCCCCAGCCAGAAAGACCAAACACATTCCAGGAGCCCCCTAGGCTATCTTGGTTCTCCCTGGCTACCAAGGCCAAAAAAAACCCCTCCAAGACACATTTTCATAAACAAAGTACAGCTAGTACCAAGGGGGAGGTCCAGAAAAGGGTTGAACCAGAAGAGGGAATTACCTCATCAGCTGTGCTTCTAATTGGGAATTCTTGTCAAATATACTAATTTGCCAGACTTATAAAGCTGTATTCACCCTGTGGGGGGTGGGCTTTTGTGGGTGTTTTTTCCATATCTGCTTCCAGAGGCCTCCAGTAAAGACCAGCTTTTCTATTATCTCCTACACTAATATATCTCAAAAGTGTGTTGTTTCATTTCGAGGGTCTTTAAGGCATCACCCTCCAACTCAGAATATTCTATGATGCTGGTGAGTGTATAGATAAGAGTGCAGAGGGGCAAAATCCTTTTTTTTTGAGTTTTGTAAAAAAAACTCCCATTCCCTTTCTTTTGAGTGTTGTTATAGGCATTTCCTGCAGAAATGTGTAGGACAGATAGTAGCTGCCAATCCAAAAGGCTCTTGGTGGTGATGGGTAAGAAAAGACACTTCTTCTGTTGTTCTGGAAAGCGAGGGGGTGAGATTCCTCCCCTGTCTCTCTGTCGTAGGGTTGGACTGAGAACGGTACCCAAGTGGAAAGCCTGGGCATTGGTCTGTAATGAACTAAAGCTATTGCTGGGTTGGACCCTCGGGAACTGTTAAATTGAAGCTCACATGCCTGTAAGTTTGCGTTGATGTCTGTGTATGGTTGAACAGCTGTATCTGTGTCTTGGTTAATATCCGTCTGCCTACTGCTCAGTCTTGTCAGAGACTGAAACAATTCATGCCTCAAACATTGATGTAAAGTTTTGCTCATTGTAACAAAAACTGTATAAAGRAGCCTCTCTGAAGATACCCGACTGGGACTTTGGGCTGAAAGTCAAATTGCTGAGATTAGATAAAGGGAAAYSTATTGCTCAATGATCTCAGCCCAGGGAGAAATAAACAAGACTGAGGGGAAGAAATGCATCACAAAGAGCCAAAAGCTGCAGAGATTTTGGGGTGGGGGACACCACAGCCCACAGAAGCCAGRTTTACACGGCTCCCCTCCCCAAAATGGGGAGCAGGGAGATGAGGTTTCTGGTGAGACCTCTRGTCAGAGGCACCGAACACCCCTCTCCTCTCTTACACAGACTGGMTCAARCCCACARGACACATYCATGGGACATTCACGTGAGAGGCAGCTGAGGGGGTGCCATAATCCATCAAAGACCCCCAAAGCGCTCCCCAGAGGCCTTGCACCACAGGACTAAATGTGAYGCAACAGATCCAAAGTCTGTCACAAGGAACTGTGCCACTCAGCCGCGGGGACATGCCCGGACATGGCTGGACATGCCTGGACATGGCTGGACATTGCCACCTGGCCTGAGTGTGTGTTAACCCATGGCATTCCATGCTTTCAGGGGGGATCATCACCACCAAGAAGACCAATGAGAAGATCAATGGAACATCATTAGGATCCATAGATGGTAAAATTTCCCTTATTCTGTCTCTGTCAATCTCTTTCTGCCCCCCCCCCCCCACCTATCTTCCTTCTCCATTTCTCTCTTTTCCTCTCTCTCTCTCTCATATTTGCTATGAAATAAAACCCACACTATTGACTGGAATATGGTCTCATTTGCACCTTAATTCGGGCAGTGGTATTTCTAAGAACCTTAACAGCTGGATCATAACAAATATCTSTCACTGTGTATTGTTTCCCATTTTGAATACAGCATGGCTAAGAAACTTGGTGTGGGTGTTAAGGGTATGTTTAAGGGCAAGAGCATTGGTGATCTGACTGATGATGATCAGTTTTTTAAAACCTTGACACTGGGGTGCTTATTGAAGCACTGGACAAAGCAGCAGGTGAATTATTTAAGTGAAAAAATATTAAATATTTTAATAACTGGTGGCTGAAGTATATTTTGACAGTTCRCCTTGTAATGATTGGTTGCATTATTTTTGGGAATGAAAAAGTAAATTTCAGCTGGTATAGGAGCAACGTATTTGGTACTGAATATGYGTAGAGAAAAACTTAGGTTGGAACCTGTAAGTGCTGTGGTACAACGAGGAGGAAAGAAAACAGTTTGTTTTTTTTTTAAATAAAAAAAAAAAACATTATTATTTAGGTTAAGAAAACATTGGGGGACACACCAATTCATATATGCCGGAATGAACAATCCCCTTGTTGGGAAGAGAATTATTGGGCAAATTGGATGCTTAAATAACTTTCCATGATGAAGAAATGCAAATTCAAATATCAGAATCAAAAGCTGTTGAGGCAAGGGCTTTTATATTACAGGAATAAAAAAGAGTTGGAAGAAATCCCAGAGGAGGTACAGAATTAACCCTGTTGGTACAGGAAACTGAGATGCCTGGATGATCAGAGGTAGCCAAACCGGTAAGGATTACTTTCAAACCTGAAGCCAAACTAGTAAGGCAAAAATTAYATCCTATGAAGTGGGAGGCAAAGAGAAAGTTGGAGAAGCTTATAGAAAAAAAATTAGAATATGGGTTATTCAGAGAGTGTGAATTAGAAAATARCACACCAATATTACCAGTTATAGACTTGCAGAAGGTTTAAGGGCTATTAATAAATGATACCTGATATTTATCTAGTAGTAGCTAAACCGTACACACTTGACAGCACTGAAAGTGGGATATAAATGGTTTACAGTGCTTGATCTTGAGCATGCCTTTTTCTGTAAAACCTCTTGACTCAGATAATTAGAAAATGTTTGCTTTTGAGTGGGTGAGTCCGAACACCAGTTGGAAGATGCAGCTGACATGTTATTACTCAAACAATAAAAAAAAAAAATTAAAAGAAACAAAAAAACCCAAAGAAATTGGAAAGATGGAAAACAAAAATCAGGACAGAACTTCACTAAAATGTGTGGATGATATTTTACTGGCACCCAAGACTGAAAGCAAGTGCCTTGATGCTACTRTAAGGCTATTAAATTTCTTGGGACTATTTGGATACAGGGTGTAAAGAAAATGGCACAAATAGACAAAGAAGCAGTAATATATTTTAGTTTTGAGATCTCACAGGAAAAAATAAGCTTGGGAAGCAAATGCAAAGGAGCCATTTGCCACACCCCAGAGCCAAGGACTACAAGCCTTCTTAGGTACAGCCAGATGGTTTTGGTCATGGACTGCCAGTGATGGGACACTGGCAAAACCCTTGCATGGTACTCCTCCAAAAACACTCAGTGTGGACTCCTGAGAGTCAGAGGGCCTTTGCAGCCCTGCAAGAACCTTAATGCCAACCCCTGCACTGGGACTCTCACACTTAACCCAAACCATGTGAGTTGTTTGTGCATGAAAGAATGAACCTGGCACTAGGGACACTGGTGCAGTGTCTGGGGTCATGGAAGAGACTCAAACAATTGGACAATGTCAGTCAAGGAGGAGCTGGATACCTGAGAGTGGTGGTAGCTGCAGAGAAGCACTAAAGCTGCTATGGACTCCACATGGGCACAGCTGGTTTGGAACAAAAAGGAGGACACTGGATATTGCCAGCAGGATGCTGAAATAACATTTTGCTGTGTTGGAGAAAGACAATATTGAAGTTAAGGTAACCACTCCTTTAAATGCAGTCATGTTTCTCCAGGCTTCAGAAGAAGCCCAGAGACCTCTGTATCACGACTGCCTGGTGAAAGGAATGAGAGGGATGTGTCTTCACAAACAAACTTTTTGGGACTGCTTGTAGATAAAGCCAGACACTGATGGGTGAAAGGAGCAATGGGAGGAACAATAAATTTCAGAGGAATTCCACTAATTGACACACTGTTGTTCACCCAAGGCCATGCTAAATTTCTGGACTTTGAGAAAAAGAGCAGAGACACAGGGAGATGGCGGGGGAAGGGGGGGTGCTGGTTAGAAAGGGGTCTGTATTAGGCAATTTGGGGAGTCTTTACCTTTCAAGTACCTCAGTCAATGGGGAAAGAGAGAGGSAAATGCATCCAGGAAATTAGGGTAAAAGGAGGCTGAGTCCTCCAGCAGTCTAAGACACCCATGAGAAATGCCCCATGGTCTCTCCCTTTATTTGAATAAAGTTACAGGACTCCTCTGTCTCCTTTTTGGACATAAATATCTGGCATCTTGAATTAATTTTCCTAACAGTAG